ATATTTCAGTCCGTACTATAGTTTACCCTCAGAAGTCATTTTGAATTCATATACTCTTAAGTAATAAGAGAAAGTACCGTTTTTTCCGCATTGGAAGAATAGTCTATCAATGTTAATTTTCTCTGGTTTTCAACCAGAAAGCATTTGGACTTTTTAAAATTACATTCAAAGATATTATTCGGATAATTTAATTATCACATTTTGGTTGATTATGTTCCAACAGTTTTTCATTATGTTCAAGATATTTTAATATATGTTTAAATATTATATAAAACAATTTAATATTTTGTCACTAAAGGCTATATAATTAGCATTATCAAAGGTAAAAATGTAATATAAACATGTCACCTACCTACGTTCTGGATATTATAAAATTTTCCTTTGCTAAAACCTGGGTCCATCCCTATTTCCCTTCCTATTTATTAACACCCCTAGCTAAATATACCATTTAATTTCATGTGTTTAGGTTTTCACACAAAACACGTACTACAAACTTTGTTTGAGCCTATATTCACTGCCTACTCATACTAAATTACCTCCTTTTTCTGCTTCTAAACCTTTTGAATTCAGATAGTAAAATCTGATCACAATCTAAACATCAATGTTTCTTCCAACTGCCAGAAGCCTCCATGCCTCTCTACTGAAAAAAATTCTCATCTAAATAAGCTGAATTTTTAGATAAGTGGCCTGAGGATGGCTTTTCTTCCCAAATGCCAAGTAAAGTACATAGTGCATAACAAATCCTGATTACTACATTTCATCTAATCCAGTGGGCCAGCTCTGGTTGTAGTCCTCCTCTGCAGATCTCGCCTTCTGTAGATACAGTAGACTAAAGGAAGTAAGATATAACCATTAATGACTATTATCTGTTGAGTAATATACTAGTAAAGATAAAATTCTAAGAATAATAATTGGCCCCCAGATACCCCTAGAATACTTCTCAAAATAATATTTTAAAGAACTGGTTTCAAAGTTTTGATATTTCCACATAATCATAAAGAAAATAAATCAGGACACTCACCTTTATACACAGGAGATATTTTCTATACTATATTAATTCTCCCTAAAATTAAAATTATTGAATCTATTTTTGTATGCTACCTTGAGGTGTAATTAAAAGTCCTTGAAACTAATGTCCTACTTTACAGAAAATTCTGTGTTCATAACACATGGCTCACATCTTACTATGCATTTGGTGTTGGAACTAAGTATACATCCTTCAACCATTTGAGTACGTCAGTTAGGAGTCGATATGTAAGATGAGTATTTTTCTAATGAGGATCTCAGAGTGGAGTTTCACTGTGTCCCTCTTTACATCTAGATGCATGTCTTTAGAAGAAAGTTTCTTTGTTTAAATAACATGTCCCTATAGTCAAATTTCTTTACAGATCAGTAACTTAAATATTCCCAGAGTAAGGGTTATGAAAGAAAAGGAATGTAAAAAAAATGAATAAAAGATTTTCAATATTTAATTTATCTCTAGATATAATGATCTATACTAGAGTGAAATAAACTTGCATGCAGAGAAATTTATAAAAATGTAAGGATATATTCTGATTTCTATAGTTCAATAGGTGTTTACTAGAAGTGAAAATAATTCTGAATAAATAAATAATTCATTTCTTAGAGCATCTATCCAGGATCTAACAAAAAGTAAAAAATCTCATGTAGAATTCATGTATTTCTTCTATTTTTAATAGTCAAAACTTTTAGTGAGTCCTTCCTAAATATGTCAATTGCTCATAATTATGAGCCATTTCATCATGTGATACTTAAAAATAACTTTCAGTAACAGTTCTACACAGGGAGCATTATACACATGCACATTTTCCTTTTATATATGTACACATTTTACTAAATATATGCATCTAGATGTGAAGAGGGAGATGATGAAACTCCACACTGAGATCCTCATTAGAAAAATACATGTCTTACATATCAACTCCTAGCTGATGGACTCAAATGGTTGAATGATATGCACTTAGTTCCAACACCAAATGCACAGCCAAAGGTGAGGCATAGGTTATGCACACAGACTTTTCTGTAAAGTAGGACATTAGTTCAGTGGTGATATATCATCATAATCATAATAATTTAGAAAAAATAAAATTGCCTTAGAGCCAAGCTTTAAAATGCTTTTAAAAGCTATGAATTAAAATTGTTCAATTACCGGGGCTGGGGATTTAGCTCAGCGGCAAAAGCGCCTGCCTGGCAAGCGCAAGGTCGTGAGTTCGGTTCCTGGTACCGGAGAAAAACCAAAAAAATAAAAAATAAAAATAAATAAATAAATAAATAAAATAAAATAAAATTGTTCAATTACCACATATGATGAGTGAATTTTTTCCACTTAAAAATAATACATTTCATTCTTTGTATAATAATTACATTGACTTTATTTGTCTTGATATTAATTAAACCTATTCACAAGAAGAAAAAGATTTAAACAAGGAAGATGAACTACTTTCCACTTAGAATTTAATATAAATATAACAAAGAATTCACAGTATATTATAAGCTAATTGTTACCTATTCATGTGGTAATGATGACATGTTAATGCAGCATGTAATTACTTTTATAGAGCAATAATTTGTTAAAAGGCAAACAGCATAATATCTTAAATGAGACATCTGAATCATACTTTTTCTTCTGGAGAATGAAGACATTTACAACAGGGCCTATTAGTGGGACAGATTGTTACTCCAGTCTTTAGACTTCCTCTTTTTAAATGAAAACGTGGTTCACTTCTGGAAAGAAGCCTCAGTCTGTGCATCATCCAATCACAGCTGTTGGAGAGATTTAGTGACATGACATCTGAATGATATTGGTGTGAACACACGGTGATATCTCACATTCCACATAACAACAGTTTAAGCAGAATCTTTGCAGTTCTGTTCCTTCAGCAAGAGTGATTGGACATGAATCAGAAGGCATTTTAACAGACAAGGGTGACTTATATTCTTATTATCCTCAAAATGATAAAGAAATTGATTGATTTCAAACTACATCATGAACTATTACATAAAGTGTGATTTGCCAAAGTACCAGATGGAAAAGCATGTTTTACTCAAGGAGAATAAATTTTGTGATTAATCTCTAAATGATGCAGTCATATTGAGGTGTAGGGGTATCATGTGAAGCATTACCAGGGATTTCCCCCATCAACTCAGCACAACTTTTGCTACAATACAAACTCCATACATATGATCCTACACGTGGTACAAATGACAGCTTGACAGTAGTTCCACTTTTTCTTTGTGTGAGAATTGTCTAAAATGATCAAATCAATAAACAGATCAACAAGGAGTAAAGTCTAGCAGGAAAAAAAAAATACCTTGTCTTGAAAACTTCCCCCTACTGCTTGGAAGTGGTACCTAGTAGTAGAAGGCAAGAATAAAGGAACTATGGTCTGTGAAACAACAGAAAATAAAAAGGCGCTATTTTAATGAAGAAGAGGCTTAATGGCAGATTAATCATGGAAGTCAGTCTTTTAAGTAAGGAGTAGTAATTAAGAGAAAATATGTTACAACTGGGAATCAGACTTTCAGGTTAATATTATAGCAGGTAGAGAAAGAGTCCCTGAACCTTCCTGCTGAGTAGGCATATATGCTCCTCACTTCAAGGAAAGCTCCTACTTTGCATGTGTTTGGGCCCTTGAGCACTGAAAAACAATTCGTCAATCAACTGCTCATGGATTGGGAAGAGTACCAAGCTGCCTTTCAATTATGAAGTCACATTCTGCTGAAATCAAGGAAGTATTTACACCATAAACCTACTCAGTTAAATTCCTTTCTAAAATTAATTATTAAAAAAATCCTTAAAATTGCTCAGAATAATTTAATAAATTAACAATGTCATTTAAAAACGAGGACCAATATTTCAGGGTGATTATGTGTCTGCTGCTATTTTGTAAATTTTACAACTGATCAAGTGTGCACTAAACATTAAACAACAGCAAACTAATACCTGCTCAACATGGTTGGATTGTTCCTGTTCTGGTTCTGGGTAATGAAATTTAAAACTGTAAACATAAATTCAGAATGCAATCCATTTACATTGTTGCCTCTCAGCATGCAAGGTAATTTTCTTGCTGAGCAGTTTGTGAATGAGCGTCAAAATACTTGATGAGAAATGGAAAAATCAAGATATGGTTACAGAAGCAGCCAAAAGTATGTCAGTGGCCTCTCCAGAGAGAACAGAGCGATGTGCATCTGGAAGAGGCACCAAGCGCCTTGAAGTACAGAGGCTTTGAAGTCACTGTGATCTCAACATAGAAAAAAAAAAAAGCAAATAATGATGTTGCAAATGAAATATTTTCAAATGACTGGAGGTCTCTTTGAAAACGATTTGCTATCATGTCTTCCGTGGCGTATACTTTCTTCTTAACGCTACATCAAGTGATTACAACCTTAGGATAATTTTGACGTGCGTATTATATAACTCATAGCACATCTGCTAATCCACAGCTCTTTCACTTGTCCCAAATTAGTTTTGGGGCAGGAAACTCAGATGGCTCTGCAGACGGAGAAGCAGGACAAACCATTTCGATCGTCCCACGCTCGTGCTTTTAAATGAAGAATGAAGTTGAGCATTAGCGCTGCCCCAGGGGCCGCGGGTGAGGGCAGCTGTATTTAGAGAAGCTCTCGGAGAAGAGAGCCTCGGTCGCAGAGCACGAAAACCCAGTGAGGAAACAACGGCCGAGCGCCCGCGTGTCTCCTCCGCGCAGCCCGCGCAGGGCTCGGATGGCAGCCCGCCTCCCGCCCGCAGGGCTGCGGACTTGCGTGCAACTCGCCGAAGTTGCCCGGCGCAAGCCCGCAGGAGCTCGGGTACCCGCCGCAC